ATTTTCTTGCATGACAGAAAATTTTAATGAAACATTCGTTTTAATTGGATTATTTTACAGTATTTTCGTATTTTGAACTTTTCTGTTTTCACGTTATTTTACTATATTTCCAAAACTGTAAACCTCTAATGAAATACTGAAATCAAATTTTTATATATTTCGTTATTAATCTTCTTCATTGCCATTGGCGCAACAGGCCCTGGGCGGCCAATGCCGTCTACTTATTGGTAGATTTCGAGACGTTTCGAGATGTTTTTCTTTTATGGGGGTTGTTAGCCCTACGTAACTAAAATTAATCTAGAAGTGAAAAATTAGAAATAAGGAATAATAGTCTAGTAAAGAATCTAAAAGCTAGAAATAAAGAATCCAGACTAGAAATAAAGAGTAATATGAGAAAAAATTTTAAATTAGCATAATCCAAAATAGTTATTTATTCTATAAATATTAGTTAATCAATAATTTATGATAATTTCATATGAGCTTTTCCGAAATAGGAAGCTTGATTCTAAACTGCCCTAAAAAATGCTAAATTAAAGAATCTTGTTTACATGCCAATGGGGCTACTCACGATAAATTCATAGGCTGGAAAGTCCTTCCAATTGAAGAAGGAATAAATATTCTCCTTCAGATTTTATCTCTCTGTGTGAAAATTGTGGTAACACAAAAGTAAATTCAATGTAGTAATGGCATAGCAAAATAGTAGGTATTAATATTCTTTTTTTTTTTCTAATGCAGCTGGCAAACACGTAGACAGCTTGGTCTTGGATGCCTTAAGGCAAGCGCTGCACAGATTTACTCACTTTGCTTTACCCAGGGGGCGCGTGTAACTTGAAGATAAGCCACGGACGCGGAGTAACAATGCCCCCGCAACGCTCTACGATCCTATTAGGACCGGGACCTACGGTTTAAAGCGGATTCTGAACCACTACAAACATCCATGGCACCACCGGGACTCGAACCCGAAACCTGTGGTACCGATCGCCAGCCACTCGACCATTCAGACCCGTAGGTATTAATATAGCGCCAGGAAAACGTTGAATCTTCCACATGTCTGCATTTCTGTGACGAACGACAAAGTCAGCATAATTTTTACTTATATCTACATATAAAGCTAGGAATCTGCGTATATTTCCAAAAATTAAAAAACCTGTAACACCTTAAAATGAAATGTTTTTCTTTGATTTTATTATTGTTTTATCTGGTGTGTAGCCAATTATATTGAGAAGAAATTATAATTAATTATTTTTTTTTAAATAAATAAAAAAAACTGTAATTTTCATGATAAAGTATAAATTATTATGCCGACATATATGTATGACAACGTATTTAAACCAGAGTTTTATAACAATAATGATGTTTAATTGATTATGAATGATTAGAAATGTTGTTGTTCTGTTATAAAGTAACCCTTTTTGATGGACAAGCTTCATTAATGTTTTCTACCAAACAAACCTGACGAAATTAAAGAAAATATTATTATGCTTACAAATGAAACTTTTAATTACTATTTTCTAATTAAGTTTGCAATTTTTCATGATAAAATGACAGCTAATTGAAAGAGATAATTAATAGATTTTTCGAGAAAAGTCAAGGAGTTTTCTTGAAAAAGCTCAAGGATTTCTTAAAACCTTTATAAAGAGTTCTTGTAACCCTGACTCTTAACAGCGGTTCAAAAATGCATAAAATTTTTAAAATCTTGTGTCGAAAGATTCATCAAGTACGTTATTAAAAATCTCGATAATTTATGCTGTTTTCATTTCCTTGCTTCCATTTATAGCAAAAATATTTTTTTTTTGAAAAATATGATTTTAATATATTTTTATTTTAAAAATATTTACTGATTTTTTTTTTTTTTTAAACTAAGTGTTAACATAGATATTTTAGGACATTTAATTTGTAACAAAAAAAAAAATGCTATTTTTTTTTTTTTTTTTTACCATTTTGCTTTTATTATCATGTTGAAATTATTGATCATTTTTGCAGCACATTATGTACATTCATATTTGTTATGAATATAATTTTTGTATTGCACAGATATAAGAAAATATTAAAAAATCATCAAATTCACACATCGTGAAAGTTCAAAATTTGCACAGTGCTGCCATCTATTAGCAAAATTATTATTCACAAATAGATGATTTTTCAGTCATAGATTATTAATGTTAATAAAATTATGAATTAATTTTATTAGAAAGAAATTACATATGAAGAAACATTAAATTATATATATATATATATATATATATATATAATAAATATTAAGAAAAATGTGAAATTTCTTCATTGATTTAAAGCGTAATCTTTAAAGTGTACGAAAGAATCAAATTATTAAATTAAAAAAAATACTTTTTTACATTTATCTTTTATTAAGAAATAAATATAAACTTTGAAATATCTGATTATTTTTAAATAACTTTACAACCATTCTTTTATTCTTTTTTCACTTTATTTTCACGTCAGTCAGTGAAAGTCTTTTTTTTTTACTTATATATATAAATTAAAATAATCTATTTTTTCCCGGCGTATCATTTTGAAATAATCTATTATAGTCAGAAGATGCTTTGTCCACAAACTTTTTATTCCCAGCACTTTTTGCTTCTTTCTGTCTGAAACTAAACCATAATCGCAACTAGTAATCACCGGATAGCTGGAATTTGAGTATGAAATAATTCGTTTTTTAATTTTAATTTTATTTATTTATAAAAATATAAAAATTTCAATATAAAATGCTAAGATAATAACTTTTATATCATGCAAGACATGGCAGGAAATCCAACACATCTGAATGTCACTAGAGCAAAAAATAAAAAAAAAAAAATCCACGTTGTCATTACATTATCAATGTTTTTTTTTTTTTCTTTATGTAGGTTTTATAAATCATTTTAAATCATATACTTTATGCAACGACTTGATTAAATGCATGGAGCTATTACTTATATTTGAATCCTATACAGTACATTTAAATATAGTAATCTTCTGCAGATTTCAGTAATTTTATTTTTTCAATCAAGATAGTTATAATTATTCATATTCGGTTATTGTTTAAAAGAATAACAACAGTTTTTTCCAACCAATTTTATGAAACCATTCATCTTTTTATAGCTGAAAATGAAGCACCTACTATCTACAGTGATCAAAATTCAATCAAGCGATCTACTTTCTTATAATTAATCGTAGACAATAACAAGGAAATATCATTATAAAACTTAGCATTCATATTTTAATTGATAGAAATGATTTAAAAATATAATATAATTAAAAACAAAACATATAAATATGGAAATCTATCTACAACAAAATTTGATTTAAGTAAATTTAACATTTACTTTAATAATACCGAAGTTTAGTGTCTAATTCTGAGCAGACATTCCCCCTAAAAAAAAAAATTACTGTTACTGCTATAAACAGAATGATAATACTTCCATTTCTGTTTATAAAACAGCAATAAATAATGATAATAATTAAAATGAGATGAAAAAATAAATAAAATGGGTGTGTTCCACTAAATTTTTGTTATGATATGAAACCTTAAATTTTCTTTCGATTTTTGAGATTTAACCTATCGTAAAAATATATTTCATACTAAAAATGAATAAATAAATAAATAAAAATAAAAAAGAAAGAGTTTTGTTTAAAAAAAAAATATTTTTTAACCTTACAAATCAACTTTTTTATTATGGAATATACTTCAGAAGAACTCAATAAGAAAATCAATTATAATTATCAATTTAAATTAACAATTATAATATTGCTGTTTCAGTTTCGTTTTTCTTTGGTTAAGAATTCTTGTAATTATATTTGAGAGTTGAAATATTGCATTGTTTCTATTTGTTTTTACCATTTGTAAATGAAAATTTTATTTAAAAAGGTAGGGTTTTTTTCTACTTGATTTGAGGTAAAAATTAGCCTAAAACTACATAAAATTTACATCTGAGATCTTATATTGAGGAAATTCCTTTTAAAAAAAATTTAAATTTATAATTTTAATTTATAAATTTATTTATTTAAATAATTAAAATTTTTTCAATAAATTAAAGTGATTCCCCAAATTATTGATAAAAATAAACATCTATTAACCTAATTTAATTTTAAACATACTGAAATTTTACCACTAGCTGAACTGCAAATCGATAAATTTTTAAAGTTTTCTTAAAGTATTTTTGTTGAGCAATTTTATTGATACGAGTTCATTATTTTGGTTTTCCTGATATAAACATATATTTTTAACAAAATAATGCCTTGTATAATTTATAAAAAAATTTAAGGATTAAATAATTTGCAAAAAAACATAAAATAAAATGATAGTAAAAATAATAATAAAATGATTCGAACAATGTAAATTTATATAATTAGAAATAAATGTCAAAAGATAAAAAAAAAATGCCGTTTGAGCAAAAAGACAATACTTTATACTTAAATTTATTTAATTATTTTACATTTGTTTCTTTTTGGTTTACATTTATTATTTGTATGTGAAGACTTGATAAAATACAATACATGTATTAAAATGGAATACATTATATTTAATAGTAAAAAATATTATCTCCTTTAAAAGAATAAAACATTAACATTTAAATGCAATCTAATATTAAGCGATAAAAATGTTTTGTAAATCGTTAACTTTCTAAATCGTAGATTACAAAGATTAATCATTTCCTTTATTGATAAAATATTTTTTTTTTCATTTAATTAGGGGGAAAAAGGAAGAAATTAAAAATAAAATTTACATGATTTAAGATCAAGTCGAACTATTTTAAAAGGAAAAAAATATGGCTAAACTTTTAATTTTTTTTTTTAATCAATACAATCGATATTTTTCTCTATGATTATATATATTTAAAAAAAAAAAAAATCATTAAAATTGATTTATATATCCAAATTAAGTGGATAAAACCGGTATCCTCTTTATGATAATCATTTCCCCATGCGGAAACCAGTGTGCTTAGCTGCCTGAATTATTTGTATGCATATGGATCGATCATCAAAAAGATTCTAGCCACTACCCTCGGCGGGACTCGAACCCGCAATCCCTGGTTTAGGAGACCAGTGCCTTATCCATTGGGCCACGAGGGCTCTACCTTTACAGTGACCTGTCTGCTCACAAATAAAAATTTAAAACTCGTGTCGAAAGATGAAATCCTCTTTTCTTAAATGGGAAAGGGGGACAGAGGGGGAATCAACTCTTTACAGCTATTTTCGTCACTGTTTTCTTGGCATTCGCAACTGTACAATATGTACCGTAATTTGGCAACACTTTTTGGCGCCATCTGGAATGGATTGAGATATTTTACTACGATAACTTCTTTTATTATTTTTTAAAAAATATTTGGGGAACTTGGTTTGGTAAATTGGTTTTTTAAATTGCCAGTAAATTTTGTGATATTTAAAAACAACAAAAAAGATATGCAAAAAAAAAAAAAAAAACAACATATCGTTAAAAAATCAACTTAAAACTGGTTTCATTGCAATATATTTGGCGTTAGTAAATGATTTTATTTTTACTCGATTTATTCGATTGCTGTTTTAATACTTTCATTAGCTTCTGAAATAATAGTGAAGATATAAATTTACAAAAGTTTTATAATTCCGTTTTTATTTATTATAAAAATAGCACTGTCACTGTAATATAATAAATAATACTTGTACTGTGTATAAATAATGCTGTAATATTACTATATAGCAAAAATAATTTAAAAATATGTTATTATTATATTATCTTTTTTATTACCGTTCGTTTTTTTATTATATTGGAAAATTTATATGTGGTTTCATATCAAACGATTTTCATTATAAAATAATAATAAATAAATAATAAATCATAAATAAATCAATAAAAATAAATAATATATAAATAAATAAAAATAGAAATAAAAAACAGTGTAGTGGAATAGACAGATTTATAGAAGAAAAATATGAGCTGCTCATAAAATTTCCAAGGTATGATGCGTTGTATGTTTAGTGACTAATACTCTGTGAATTAACTGAAAATTATGACTTAAAAAATTCATAAAAAAACTGAGTTACCGTAGATGCGGTGTGCACCAAAATACATGTCATAAATTCGGATTTTTTTTTTTTTCGTTCCTTTTTTAATGCATAAATGTTAAAAATAAATGAAACGGTGTTATCATTTTACTGTACTTAGGATGATCATTTAAAGGAAAAGGAAGAAATGTGACATTTAACAAATAAAAAATGATGTCCTAGGAGGAAAAATGATACTAAAAAATGATACTCTGTGGAGGACATTTTACGAAAGCTGGTCTAAATGGCACATATATACTTCTTTAAGTTTCAATTCACACTACAACTTCATTGCAATCTCACTATATTGTACTGAAATATCATTTCACACTAGAATACCAATGAATACAATATCACTATACCATACCGTCACTACAAATATGTCTCTATACACATTACACTATCACTAAATACCAGGCCACTATACAAAACTGAAACATCACACTACAGTATCAATTATATTAAATGTCATTATACTATATTGAAATAACAATTCATACTACAATATCATTGAATATGATATTATTATTTTATACAGAAACATCATTTCCAATAGAATATCACTGAATGCAATATAACTTTACATCATACAATCATTATAGATATGCCAATGACAATGTCACTATACAAATTACACTATCACTAAATACTAGGTCACTTTTCCAAACTGAAACCTTTCACTACAATATCACTTATTTTAAATGTCACTATACTATATTTAAATATCAATTCACAATACGACATCATTGAATATAATATACTACACCATATCGTCACTATATGCAATGTCACTATGTACATTACACAATCATTGAATACTAGGTCACTATACGAAACTGGAATATTTCACACTACAATATCAATTTATTTTAAATGTCACTTTACTGTACTGAAATATCAATTCCTACTACAACATCATTGAATATGGTCTCACTATGGTATACTGAAACATCATTTCACTCTACACTATCAAATATCACGAAACCGTTGCAACATCATTTCACACTATCAACTCACGGAATCACATTCTGAATTGTGTCATCACACTGTGTTGTTGTTTCTTATTCCATTTGGCCCACAGCAACTTCTAAACCAAAGTCCATGAATCCATGTGGTCTCATGGGAGGATGGAAAAGGGGGTGGCAGCTGCAGCTGTCATGGAGCCCCCAGATAGAAGTCTGACTGGGCTCCGTGTCGTTGAAGGAGGATAGTGCCTTCCGGGAGGACTTTTAGGGGGAACTATCCCGCATTTGCGTGTCGTATGGGAGAAAACCCGGAAAACTCTATCAGTAGTCCGACTCGTGGCAAGATACTGAACGTTCCAAACGCCATCGAGCCTCCTCATTTTTGAAATAGTGCATTACAGTGCATAGCCGCATAATCCCTAATTCGATGAAAATCAAGTACAGTGAATAAGGAGACAGAGAACAGGAAGCATGGGGAAGCAGGCAATAAAGCATGCTGCTTCATAAAAAGCCTATATGCATTAAATCATGTGGTTTTTAAAATAGGGTTTTCGACCTCCCCAAAGGGCTTGGGGTAAAATTTGGAGGGCAAGTGGGAAAAAAATTTGAAAATTGCTCTTATTTTTATTTTTATAAGAAAATTTAAACTTTTTACCTTTTCGTTATTATTATTATTTATTTTTTTTCTTTTTAAAAATATTTTTACACTGTTTACTCTTATCCGTTTTTAATTTTTTGTCATTATTTACACAATTGCTTTTCAAAAATGGTTTATTAGATTTATATGAAATATAATGAGTGCAGTAGAGTACCAAATTGCACAAACAACGCAGTCTCAAATAGATTAACATAGTGTCATAGTGTAATTGAGCAGCATATGTACTTTTATAAAGATTACTATATAATTTTTGTAGATTTATGCTGAAAATGAAAAACCGCCATCTATTGTTAAGTGTTTGGACTAGTTTTTTTTTAAGGGAAATAAAAAATTCGACTTTCTGAAATGGATATTTCGATGCAAACCTCATCCTCAGATAATATCAGATAAAAAAAAAAATTAAGGTTTTTATGAATTATTTTCTATGAATTTTTAAAAGGATCGATAGACTTTTAGTTGACCTTACATGTTTTCAGTGGAATTGCTTTACCGTCAGTGCAAATAGAAGGACAAGTTTCAATACATTTTTATCTAATTGGAACTAGTCCGCTTGATGATTTAACAA